TGACATCTATAATTCTTCAACACCTACTTCGGTGCAGGCTCCATCTCCAGCCCAGGACTGTGTTCCAAGTCTCCCGCTTTTCTCACTGTTTATCCTGCTGTTCACATATCTGCTCCCCAGTCCTGACCCACCTCCTTCCCTCTAGTCTCAAATCCTTCTGTCACTATTTAAAGGGTTTCTCCTTAAGCACAGCATGCCTAAATAAGTTCCTTCCCATTCTATTAGTTGCCTCTACATTCTCCTTCTCTCTATATGGTCAACAGCATAATTATTCTTCTCAGCATTAAAGCCTACAAATGGGGGGACTTTTTTATCATTATTCTCCGTTGACATGCATGGCTACATCTATCAAAATCTTCCCCATTTTTCATACTTAGCATTCTCCTTTTGTGACAGGGGTATGTTTCAACGTCCCATCATTACTCCTATGATAGGTTCCTCTCCAGTTTCTTTCATATCTAAACTATCCTGAAATTTAGCCATTGCCCTAAATGCAAGGGGAGTTTCAGTCCCAGCTCACGGCTTTGTAGGCACCAAAGTCAATCAAACCAAGACAAATCCTTAGAAAATCAAGCTCTTGACTTGCTTCATGCTTACTATACTAAATGTTTGCATCTGTCAATGGCTATGCTATTTTTTAATAGATATGTACCTGCCAAAATAATTAAAGCAAAGGAGGACTCGCTTTGGCTGTCTTAAATGGCTATATTTTATGTCCTCCTTATATACCCTATCTGTCCTATAGCACTCTCTAGCAACATGGAGGACCGCAAGTTATAACTATATTCCTGGAAGTTTGGATACTCATATAACACTATTGAATTATACTGCCACTTAATTTATTGCAGAAGAATAGCCTGACTTCCATTTTGACTTGGTTTAAAAGACATTATCACTGAGTGAGGTAAAGAGTCTAAAAAATCCTTCTTATTAAAACCACAAAATTAGATCCTAAGTCTCTAAATACAGGCTGTGGCAGAGATCACCAATAATCTGTAATGTTTACTACAGCAATTTTTAAGACAGGCTGCTTTATAACATCCACATTATTTTGCAGGAATGGTAAAATACCATAAAAAAAAAGAAAAAGAAAAAATAAAGGTGATGCAGATTTTAGCTGAAAATAAGCCATTTTAAAATTCAGGCAAAGTTACGCAAGCATGAGAAAAAACCATAAGACATGGTTTCAAAGTCCTCAGGAAATACGTCATCCACTGCACATTGGGTTTATCCGAATTTTAGAAAAACCTATTGAGATTAGTTTTTACCTAATGCTGCATAAGATGATTACAGCTATTTGTGGCACTTTAATTCCTGCTAGAAACAAAATGATATTTTATAGAGATGTATCTACAAAAAAACCCAACCCTGACATAAACCTCTTTCATCCATTCTCATTCTGCAGAACGGCCTTCTAAGCTGTAAAATCATGCACTTTTCTTAATGAAGTGAAGGCTAGACAAATACATAGCAGAGGGTTTTAGAAATAAATTGCACTAAACTATGTATTGCATTATAAAAACTGATTAAGTTTCATAAAGAACAGAACTTCAAAAAAAAATGTTTGGTCATTTTGACATATCCAGATGACTATTATTCTCTTTCATGGTTCTCCTTTTTTATCTCTGCACAATGCCTCCAAGATGCCCCATTATGAGACAATCCCAACAAAAAAGGCTTTTGGATTTCCACAGGTTTCATTTCCTCTTCCTTGTAGGGTTTTAAAAAAATAAACGTTCACATCAGAACAACATGTGCTACAATTTGAGAGGAGCCTTTGATTTTAATATCATCTAGCTACGGATGACCCTACAAAAAAAAAAATCCTTACGAGCTCATAATAACAACGGTACCGTAACTCCTCACCGCGCATAGGATTGCTACAATACTTTTGGTGAAAATAATTTGGAATTAACTTAAGAGTAATGTCAATATCTGAGTATGCGTTCTTCCCCTTGCACGTTCCTTCTGAAGAGTTTCTCCTCCTCCCTCCTCTTAGGGCTGGATTTTCAAAGCATTGTGTTTCAGCCACTGGAGCGTAAATGGGACTCCAGAGACTGCAGCTCCACATGTCGCTTTGAAAATGTGCCTCTTAGCAACTAACTCAGCTGTAACCGAACACGGCGACTCTAGCAAGAAGTCCAGCAACAAGAACAGCCCGAAGGGAGAAGGAGATGCTTTTGAACCCAAATTAAAACGTAAAAGGACAATCCTTCAATAACCTTTCTGTAAATCACTTACAGAGCTTTTACTTCTGTATTTGTAGTCACTTCTTGCATGTGTAGAATATACGTATGAAAAATATTGAATCCTCATTTTTCTCATGTTACTCCCCCATTCAGTAGTCAACAGTTAATATTTATGAAACACATTGAAGATAAAAAACAATCACGCGCGCATTGAGAGCCCGAGTTCAAAGATGGCTGGTTGAATCAAACCACACAAGCATAAATTTGAGAACAAAAGGAACTAGACAACAGTAGATTTGAAAAGTGCCTCTAATTATAATTATTTTTGTTTATCTGTTCTTGTTATACTCAATTTAAGACATCCTACAGATTTTTAAAGCATTTTGGAAGTTAACGAGAATTGAACACACACTTAAAGGACAGGGATAGTTACAACAGCTGAATTTATTTGTAAAGGAATTAAATTCTACCAAAGCTGTAAGACCTACAAAAACTGAATTGGGCACATAAAATTATGTTAACTTTATGCCTGGTAGGAATGTGCACTTCTGCATCCAGGTTAATGATTCTGTACAAAAATCACATTTTTCATTAGTAGCTACAGCCTAAATATTGAAAAGGTCAATCAATTCTGGATAAAACCAATGTTTGACAGCTGTAAATGAGATCAAGTTTTGGAAAGAGATAAACACTTCGACTCAGAAAATTAATTGTAATTAAGATTAGGTACTAAAAAATGGATGCTTTCAAGACCATTAGGCATTCTGTAAATGTAAAAGACAAAGGAACATTAGCAGTACAGAACTTAAAAACAAAGCAGAAGTTCTGCCTTAGGTATTTCTTTGTGTGGTGGTCTGATTTATAGGTGAATGGAAGAAACTATGACGGGAAGCTAAAACAGATGTCATGGAAGTGGGGTTTTTTGAAATACCTATTATGCAAGAACCTCATTATTGATTGTGCAATAAAATCATCTACCACACTTAAAAAACTGATGAGGTCACTCTTTTGTATTATTCCAGAATCTAGACCAACCAAATAGCAAACCAAATGGAATAATGAGAGACTTTGAACACATCTTGCAATTCCCAAATCTCTTTTATAAAAAGAAGCATTTAAGAACAAGAAAAAGACATCCAAAGGCCTACAAATTAAAATGCTATCTAGCTTCTGTAACACCACACTCCTCAGTCTGTTATTGTGGCAATCAAAAGATTTCATTTATTCTTTGAATTCAACCTTAATGTAGCTATAATCACATTTTCATTACTGGCATATGTAATACATCAACAAATATTGCAGTGTAGCCACACACAAAGCACACATGTTAGAACACTTTGAAGGATTACTTCAAAGTACTGCAGGAGTAAATGTATAGCTAATGTCACTTCTGTGACCTGTGTACTTCTTCAGCACATACTTCTATATCCATAGTTATCTTCATAAAAATAACATAGAAACGTCCCATCATTTTTTCATTCTTTAGTTCAAATCTATTTATAACTATTTGGTAAACACCATTCAATTATGAATCTATTTCCTTTTTTGAAGAATACAGAGCAATTAAAAAATATGTAGCATTTATAAAATAAAGCTAATCACTTTAAAGAAGGTGAGAGAAATTAAAATAAAATAGCATTGACATTAATTACTTCCATTTGCAGGAAATGGTAGAGACTGGTAATGTACATTTTTCATAAATGCTACAGAAATTACTGAAACTCTTCTGGGACCTCCATTGTCTTCACAGTAATAGTGAAGTATTGATGTGCTTCTATGATGTGCTTTTATGATAGATAACCAAAATTTTTCCTTAACTGCTACTGATTGTAGCTCTGCAATGAGCACAATTGGTACTCCGGCTTCAACCAACCACAACTTGGAGGTACGTGTGCTTCCACAAACATCGCCTGTGTTAAGCAATGTGCCCTTCAGACTAGTTCTGCACAAAACATACAGATGTTTGTGAAGGAAAACACCACCAAGGTGCCAATGCAATGTGAGCAAGAGGGCAGAGGGAGGTAGAGCAAGGGTGATGCACAGTTACTGTCACCATTTCCCATCACTGGCAGCACAGGCACGGCACAGGGGACAACAGGGATGCTACAGCAACCGGGTACGTTCATGACCTTGAAAACATTATATATAATAACTTATGGAGGTTATTTTATATAAAGCTCCAAAACACCAAGTGCTTGATTTTGATAAATGCCATCATTTACAAGGTGAAATGGGGACCTTCAAGTAAATGGAAGAAAGACTGAGCGATACGCCAGCACGTCTACTTGAACGCTGCAACACTGCACGAATGGGAACGTTCTGCCAAAGTTTCACTGTGTCCTTGAACATTTTTCTTGACTCATTTCCAAGTTTCTTTGGCTGACACTTTTCACAGAAACTTAATGCAAAAGACACAAAGATTTCAGATGCTACTTGGTGCCAGTGAAATCAATGAAACTTTGGCCATTAACCTGTGTGGAGATGGCTTCATCTTCAACTTTGCATAAACAGTTATATCCTACTCTGGTTCAGTAACTTCCATTAAACAAAGGAAAGCAGCAAGGTTTAGGAGTAACTATTCGATGCCTTATCTTGCATGAGTTTTTTGTTACTCTTTCTTACACTACAAATAAGACAATACCTTTGAAATGTCAGGACAATGAGTTTCCCCACAGAGAACCTGGAAGGATCATCTCAATGTGCTGTTCCATTGTAAATACAAATTAAATAGTGACCAATAAGAAAGTTACTAGTTCTGACCTAGCTCTGGCTTTCAAGAACATACATCTACTATTAAATATTAGTACCTACCTAGAAGTGCTTGAAACAAGCTGCTCTTAAAGATGCCCATCACCTTTCTGATGGCTTTTTTCAGTTGTTGCTCTTCTGGCTTCCTTAGTTTTTTACAGTATTCTTCCAGCAGCACTAAAGCTCGGTCAGTATCTAAAAATGAACAAGTAGAAAAAAAATATTTTATTGGCTCTGGAAAGTATTTAAATGTTCAAATATTAACTTCACATTTTTAAAGGCATTGTTCACACACATAAGGAAGATTTACAACAAATGCTGTTGCATTCTGTTGTTAGCTGTATGCCGTGAGCAACATAGGCAAAACGGAGAGATTAACCCAACACCAAAACAGGAAGATTACTGCGTGTCTGAGCTCTCCCTGCAAAGGGAAAACGATCTTTTGAATGGCTTCTACAACAAGTGTTTAACTTTCATTTATCCAAAACCAGCTGGAAGCTATGGGGTATGGACCAAATTACAATTTGCAGAAGCTGCAAAATTATAGACAATAACCATTATGAATACCCATGCAGGAAAACTGGCCTTAAAACATATTCAGAGAAGACATGAGTTTGCTTCGCATCTGCAGCACTCAGTTCTCTGGTCTCTGAATAGCAAATGTGTATCTGAAAGGCAGGTGTCCAAAAGCGTGGTTGTTTTTTTTCTCTTCCCTCACTACACAAAATTGCTATCTACCTCTTTGGTAAAAATGAGACTTTGATAGCAGACATTCATTCATGTGTTGGCTCAAATGTAACAATCCAGCCTTTCTGTAAGAGTCCAGAGAAACAGAGCTCTGTTTCTCCTGCTGCTATTATCTTTGTGTAGTCATTTGCCAAGAGCATGAGTGACATATAAAATTGTATGAAATCCAAACATCACCATCTTACATATAAGAAAATAGAGGAAAATGGAGAATCATGTTTCACCTTTCCTTCTCCCCATCCTAACTAGCTCACAGAAATGTCCACACACGTATGTATATGACACTGAGATATTTGCACATGCTTTTGTAATTATATTGCCAGCAAGCTTGCAATAAGATTACCAAACAGTAAAAGAAATACAAATTAATAATTATAGTGAAACAAGTACCTCAATCTAAATCTCTTACAGTAGAGTTCAAAGCAAGCTTCTTTACCAGGAGAAGTTCAGACTCTTTAGTTAGATTAAACTCAATAAAGTACTGTAAAAAGGCTTGGAAAGGCAAAACAGAACTGCTTTTATCATTCTTTTTTCTAAATAACTGAAAGAAAACTCCTTTTTCACTATATAAAAATTGATCATCTTTGTTCATCCAAGGATCTTGAACAGGATCCCTGTAGCCTGGGCCTTGTGGTGTGACAACTAGAGGAGTTCACAGTAGGAGCAGAGACATGACTTGTGTTCTGTAAGTTGGTAACATTCTCAAATTAAAAAGGGGAAATATTTAATCAATTATTAATGTTTATGAAGATGCAATCTCTTTTATTTCTCCTTACAGAAATTCTGGCTGGTCACAATCATTTTACCAGAAAAATGAAAAACACAATGAATATAAAGGAATGGTATTTAAATGTCTGTGTGTACATATATGCGTGCACACGTATATAAAAATATATGCATATATCACATATATATGAAGATGAGGGAGCATTTTATAGCAGTGTAGACATTTATACAATGAAGGAGCTCACAGTTCCCTGCTGCAATCCCACCTGGAGGGGGGTTTCCAAGAGGAATCCCTTCTTTCCATGAGAGCCGTCCCTGGGGCAGGTAAGGCTTAGGCAATTACCTTGTTTTCACCTAAAGCCAGTAGTCCGCTTAGGACCCACTTACAGAAAGAAAGATCCACTCTTCTAAAAGCCAGGTCACAACACCTGGGCTGGGTTCCCACCATGGATCACCCAAATCAAAAGCACAGCCTCGAAACAAAGTTCTGGGTCCAAGTGGGATATGGTTAGGATATTCCCAACAAACGGCTGGGAATAAAGAACTAATTCTACATGTGAGCTCAGCTTCTTTTGCCTTGAAAACCCCAATCGCATCGTAACTTTCACTGACCTCATGACTGTCTGACCCACCTGTGACGCCGGTGCTGGCATTTATATACTGAGAGTTCCGGCTGCCCTCAATAAAATAATTACTTAATAACTTAAAGCACGGGTTGGAATCAGGCATTCGCCTTCCCCCCAGTACAGACAGGCATATGCAATGAATACATAATTATTTATATTAAATTGAAGCAGCAGAGAGTGGTGGAAAACCACTGCAAAGTATCCAGTACTGAGGATGCTTTTCAGAAGTGGGCTATCTGAGAAATCAGGAAAATGAGATTTGAATGCCTATGCCACACCACAGAGATGCCCTACCACTCCCTCTTTCTTAGTCACTTGGTGAAGTGTGCTGACATCCCCTCCTTCCTTCCCTAAAGTGTATGGTTCTTATTTTAAAAACCAGCTACAAAAAAGTAGCATCCTTTGAGGGTATGAGCAGAGTTTTTATTTTCACTTAAATTATTATTTTTCAATTCATCAAGATGAAAAAAGCCTACTTTTGGTTGACCCCAAAACAGTCCTAAACTCTACAAACTGAACAACCAGCAACAGATCACAGTTCTAGTGTTAAATCTAAATCCTGGCTAAATCCCAAATCAAGTAATTATCTTCCTGCCTAATTTTCCTCTCTAGCTTTAATAGGATACATTCATTTTTACTCTCTCCCTAAGCTCCTGCATGGAGTTGCAGCTTTTTCCCGCACAATCCCACTCGGCAGCAGTGTATCTAGTTTTCCAAATAACCTGTGATGTCTTGCCATGTGCTGGGAGATCCAGTCACCCCCAGGCTGCCCTGCTTTTGCTGAAAGCCACCACTGATGTTCTGGTATCAACTGGAAACACATCTTGACCAAGAATATTGTAGCGTGTTGGGGAGGGGGCTGTGTAACCACTGCTACTGGAGTGCTCCTGAAAAGCCAAGGGGCTTACAGAGACTATTCAAATCTCCAGTCATTTTGGCACTAATTAGGCTGTCAAAAAAGCAACCTTCAGCCTTTTTGACAAACCTTACTGGTTATAAATTACTTGGGACTTGATCTTCATAAGGATTTGTACAGTATTTAGCACGATGGGGCATAATCGTGTTCAGCGACGCCACACAACATTCATACCTCTGCACAACAATCAAACAGAAATATGAAATAATACAATATGGTATGCCTGAAGAATACTAAGTACTCTCTCCAAGATAATAACCATCTTCAACTCCCAGTTATACCCAAAGCAGATGAGGACATCCAGTACTTTGCCTTTTGGCGCTGTCTGACAGCTACAAAGCATAAATAATATTCAGCAGCAAGAACTGACTGCCTGGACTGCAGCACAATAGTCAAATAAGAACCATATTCCCTGCCACCCAAATTAAACCAAAGTTTCTGAAGCTGAATTCCCACACATTCTTCTCATTGAGAAGAATGGCAGACCGGTGGTTTTCACGAAGGACTGGATCTCTGGATGTATGGGATTACAATATCCAATGGAGCACACGGTTAATCTTTAGCAGCCAAAATAAATCCTGTACCTTACAGTCGGAGTATATCATAAATACAACCAAAAATTCCTTTTTCTATTGTACCATTATTCTTCAATGCTGATACCAAACCCAAATTCAAGCAAGACCACAAATCCACTGAACACACAATTTAATATCCTAAGCTGTGAGCCTCCGTGTTGATCCTGAGTAGGTCCGTTGTCTGCTAACAAAAGACTACTGAAAAGTCAGTATCAGCTGTGTCCCATGAGGTCTACAGGACATAGTTCTAGTTTTTCTTACCATTTCTTTGCATATTATGACACTATTTTTAAATTGATCCTATTGGCTTTGAAAGATGACTTTGACAAGAACCATTCAGAAGATACAGTCCTACAAAAACTCACATGTATGCTAGACAGTATATGCATTATTTTTGTGTTTAAATAAATCATACTCAAAACATCTTAATACAATAATAAGAAAAATTTCTTCAAGCTTTTATGGTCCTACAGTATCTTGTCCAAGAGGTTATCAGTTAATCCAAACTAACTAACAATTCTGTAAATTTTACTGCTTTATCACTCCATAATTTTTTAACCAGTTCATAAATGTTTGTGGTTTATGTTACTGACTGAGGAATGGGCAACTGCTACAATACAACAAACCAGAGATACATGACACTGAAACAAAGCTGTAGATCAGTAACTTTGCTTATTGGATTTCTTTGGAAAACTTTTTCCTCCCTCAAACAATCTAAAGTTCTACCACCCAAGAAATTATGTATTTTTTCTTGTACAGAATGAGTCTCTGCTTAATGTAATATATTGATCTATATAAGAATCAAAACCAGGCAAATCCTTTCCTTGGAGTTATTTTAGATGGGATCATTAGAGAATAATCCACACTTTATAGTCCCCACACTTTATAGACACACTTTTATGTATTGTAGATTTTTTAAAGCTCCACAAGTAGACAGTTACACTATAGAGCCAAAAAATCTGTTGGGGCAATGCTTATACGCCTGATGAAACAAATAATAAAATTATATAGAAAATACATTGTTAATACAACCCAAGTTATATTTTAACAAAATGTAGCTTCAGTATAACTTCTAGAGAAAAAGTTTTCCAGGGACACTGTCAACAAGAAATGAAGCCATACATACAAGCAGGTACAGAGTAATGTATACTATATATCAGGAGAAATGAGATTCTCACCAATAAAAAATTGTTTCCTAAAGCATCGCTCTTAAAATGTATGCTACACATATGAAAGACTAAATGTCACATATTTAAAAGCAAGAAAGGAAATTCTGCATTTATTTTATCATTTACTTTGATAAAATTATGCCAAAATCAATTCTACCTTAGCTACTTCTCAGGGTCTGTATCCGAGACCTGGATGCCACTTGCAATACTAACCAGTACCTTAAACCTGAAGCATTCCCTTCCTCTTCTGGTTTATTTCTGCATCTTTGCCATGCTCTCATTTTTTGCAAGCACATTTTAGAAACACTAAAACTCCATATAGGCAAGGAGACACAGCAAAAATTGAGCTTCAGTTTTTTCAGTAAGAGTGTAACAGGTAGGCACTCTGATTTTGATTACATGAATGCATTTAGGTGACCCGAAATCTTATGGGAGT